GCACAATATAGGTATTTCCGTTTCCTTTTAGAATCATGATGATTGAAAATTTTGATAAATATTTTCAATTACAGCTTGAATAAGAGTAGGAAACACTGGCCATAATGAAATTGGAGAGGTACAATTTATAGGGTTTGATTACCAAACAAGGGGTGCATATTATGTGTGAGTAGAAGCATTTTCCCACACTTTTACCACAATTTTAGGGGTGTGTGTTATGGATGAAGGCATATTATATATGGGAAATTATGGTATATATATATATATATATATATATATATATATAAGTAAAACAATACTCATATGTTACAGCTTCCTGCAAGTTTGATCCCACAATCATCAGACTTGTAAGTGTAATGAGCTATTCAGTTGCTTATTAATTAATAATAATAATAATAATGATAATAATAATAATATTTAATATGGAATTGAATATATTTTCAATCTTAGAGCCTGAGGATTGTGAGATAACAGCATCAACATCTAAGTGTCCACATGAAATTTTGCCTTCTTAAATGTTCAAACAGATTAACAAAATTGCTAATTCTATATTTTGTTCTTTTGTTGTTCTAGTTTATGTGAGAAGCCAAAAATTAAGTCTATAATATAATCAATCCTGATCTGACATCTAAGCCTCAGTCACTTTTTCGCCAACATGACATGGCTTCCTTCTCTCTATTCTACAAATATTTTTATGGCAATTGTTCTGATGAGCTCTTCTACTTAGTGCCTCAATTACATGAATTTAAGTGTGCTACTAGATTGGCAAATGGGTCACATCATTTTACTGTTGAATTAGCTAGATTCAGCCACCTCTTCTATTCTAACCGTTTCTTTTCTCGCACTTCTCACTTGTGGAACTCCCTTCCGATTTCTTACTTCCCTGCCACTTACAATGTTCATTAATTTAAATGCAACATCAATCACCTGTTCTTTTATTATCCTTTTCTTCTTTTCTCTTTTATTCCCTGTAACCCCTTGCATCCTAGTGGTATGATTGGTATGAAATGATTAATTTTTTTTAATCTTTGTAAAGGAGAAATATCAAATTTATTATATATATATATATATATATATGAAATATAAGATTAGGAAAAATCCATGCATCACACACTACCCGGGATTCAACCTTACAGTCTTGTCAGGCAGTTACTTGAACATGGTATATATATATATATATATATATATATATATATATATATATATATATATATATATATATATATATATATATATATAAAAAAGAAAAGCTTATAGTGGTTCCCCAAAATGACATTCATAATAAATAAAAAACTGCAACTCCAAAAATGAGATTTATGTGCTTAAAACTGAACAACAGCAACATAAAATTACCAGACAACAGAAAACTTTTTGTATCACAACACATCTTCAAATGTAACCGGGGTAAATTAAATATTATGCCAATATATCAAAACAAACCACTCACATACATGCATGCACACTCACATTCGAGTATCTGTGGAGCACGAAAATATATATATATATGTACACATGTTGACAAAAGCAAGGAACTACTCACAGGCATGCACAACTTAGGAAGTACGTGTGTATGTGTTTACGCATATATGTGTTTATGTGTGTGTGTGTGTGTGTGTATGTGTATACTGGTTCCATGTAACTTGGGAAGTATGTGTGTATATGTATGTGTGTATGTATGTCTTAATTGTTTTATGACCCTTCATGCAGAACTCTTCACTGCCAGTTCAAGAAAAACATTCGGATTACTAACACAAAAACAGAGAATGTCTTGTATCAAGAATATTTAACATCGAAAAACATAAAGGAGAAAAAAATTAATTATTTTTAATAATATGTGGAAATCTCCACCCTTTTCCTGATGATGGTCATGAGACCAGAGACATGTGTAGTAAAATTATAGAAAATGAAGCATAATATTTAAAAAAAAATCCACATTACAAACAAAAAGGTTTGTGTTATCTCTCTTCTTTTTAAATATATATATATATATATATATATATATATATATATATATGTTTTTCGCTGACACAATGTGGAAAGATTATATTGAATTAATTGCTAGGCCTGCTGTTAGAAAAGTTGATTCACTGTGTTATGCTAAACAATTTCTCTCTTCAGAATCTATCTTACATAAGTCTACCATTTGTTCTTTCTTTGAATATTGCTGTCACATTTGCACTGATGATTCTGCTATTTATTTAGAGATTCTTGATAAAATACAAAGAAGAATCTTTAATCTAATTATCTCATTCTTGGTATCTAGGCTTCAGTCGCTTTTTCATCATCATAATGTTGTTTCTCTGTGCCTTTTCTATAAACACTTTTGTGGTAATTGTCCTGATGAACTTTCCTCTGTGTTACCTAGACTTTATGAATTTAAGCACAGTACTAGATAGTGGCAAAATTTCATCATTTTACAGTTGAAATTACACAAACTAACTGTAAATTCTTTGCTAACAGTTTCTTCTCTCAAATTTCTCCCTTGTGGAACTCTCTTTCTTTCCAACTTCTTCCTTCCCAGTCAACTTTGACCTTCAAAAATTTTAATGCAATGTTAGTCATTATCTTCTGTATTCTTAATTCATGTTCTTTTATTATTTATCTCCTTAATAGTATTTTTTTCTTTGTATTCTCTCACACTCAATAACCAATGTGTTTTAGTGGTTTTATTGGCTTGTTTGGGGTGGAATGATTAATATATATATAGTCGACTCTCCCGTCAATTCGATGTATGAGGATCAAGCAGATCAGTTCCTAGGAAACTGACAGCCTGACAACGGCACATGAGATTTGATTATAGTGGTGAAGGTTTCGTGCAGGACCAGCTACACTTTTTGAAGGGTCGAATTCAGAGACCTGGTGCACTACGGGTCACAAGGTCCCTAAAAAACCCTCCGCAGGTTTTGAATTCAGAGTTGTCCTTCTCCTGGACCAGTTGCCATCCAAGGCTATAGAACTCAGTCTGTCCTGCTATTTACCCATAGCTGGAGGGAGAAGAAGAGGATTCATACCTTTCCCAAGGAGATTAGCACATAAGTGAATGTAATGGATTCAACTGGAATTCAAACTCTATTCTCGATTTCTCAATCCAAGCCGCTATCCATTACCCTGCCACCCTATATATATATATATATATATATATATATATATATATATATATATATATATATATATATATATATATATATATATATATATATATATATATCACACCTATGTAGTTGATTGGTTCCAGAGGTCATGACTTAAGTTGAAATAGCCACACTATAAACTGCAAATAAGCACTAACAATTGCCTATTACAGTATTTATGATATGTACATACAGTATTCTGAATAAAATAATTAATTATCTTCCAGCAATATAACCTTACGCTTATCATTAACACTTATAATGTGACCTTTCTTCAGAACCATAAACAAAAATGTATTCTAAATCACAATTGAAATGTAATTGAAAGAACATCAACAGCAGAGCACAGATGTAAACAAGTCTGAATTCAAAATCAGTGTTGGAGTGGAAAGTAATGCATGAGTGCCACCTGTCAGCAAGAATGTGAAATAAGAACATATATATAATATTTTAAAATTTTAATCTTAAATCTTAATGTTTTGACATTTCTAATATATTTAACAGCTAACATAAACTCAAGTAAAATGGCATAAGGTGAGTTTTATTTTTCTATATAATATTTCAGAAAAATGACATATCTTTGAAAATGACTTAACTCAAAATGACTTAAGCTGAGGTATCACTATTTATATATATATATATATATATATATATATATATATATATATATATATATATATATATAATATTGAATTCAATACTTAGAGGTCTGTTTCAAGTTCAAGTTTATATTTACAAACGCTCTATCTCTGATATTCAGTACTTTATCCCATAAATATACCACACCTTAAGACTATATTTCTTTATATATATATATATATATATATATATATATATATACACTGAAAATAAATTCCCGAGAGCCACTCGAGGTAGAGGCTCACAGAGTAGGAGACACAACAGTTTATGTGGATATGTTTGGAAGAACAGTTAATCTTTGAATTGAACAGGTTAAGATTGTAGTGATTGGGGAAGCATCCTTACGGGAAAAGCTGATCAAGTGAGACTTAGCTCTCTCCATTGGAATATGAAGGGAGTGATGGGGGTTCACTACAATGTGTCTTGCATGGTGGGTCTTAATTTTGAAGCTTAAATAGCTTAATATGGCATGAGGTTAATGTAAAGAATGGCTGTAGGATGATTATGCTGCATTGAGATTTCAAATGGGTGGGAGATACAAGCCTTGAAAATCAGCATTCAGATTACCGCTTTTTACCTGGGATGAAACCAGGATTGCAATACTGGGTTACTTTTGAGAGATCAGCACTGCTAAATTTTAAATATCACTTTGACTTTTTTGGACAATTTTTCAAATAGACATAGCTAATTTGAGCAACTGATAAAAACAAAATCAATTAAAAATTTTGTAATCTGGAATTTCAAATAAAATCCAGTTTGCTACTTTCCACTTAATACTGATACTAATACTGATACTGATACTAATACTGATATTGATACTGATTCTGATACTGATACTAAAACTGATACTGATACTAATACTGATACTAATACTGATACTGATACTGATACTAATACTGATACTGATATTGATACTGATACTAATACTGATACTTAATACTAATCCTGACTCATCTGCTATTTCAACTATCCTTTTTTCCTCTTTCTTTTTTTTATCTTTGTATTTCAAACATTATGGCATCATTATTCCCAAATAGTACCAACAATCAACCAATATATCCTATGTTGGTACCAGATCTCTAATTACTTTTCTCTTACCTTTACAGGTGCGGAGTAACTTTGATGTATCTGCTGACACATTATATGATGTATTACATGATCCGGATTACAGAAAAGTTTGGGACCGAGCCATGATTGACTCTTATGACATATGTGCGTTGAATCCAAACAATGATATTGGGTACTACGCAAGTAAGTATACATATTTCTGTATTTCGTTACACACAAGCACACACATGTATTTCTTAAGCTTGGATTAATCTGGCAAAAAGATAAAAAAATTTTGATATCCCTGTTAGAATTGAAATCTGTACATCATCAATAGCTTTGAAATTAGCTTCCTAACAACTATTCCATGGAGAAATGCCTACGTATGTCAAGAGGATATGAGAAAGATTCTGGCGGTAACCACTTCTCAAGACAAGAATTTATCTTGAATCTCTATTTAATTAGACTGAGGACTTTTCACTATATTTATCTCATTGAATTTTGTGTTAGTCACACAGCTCTGTAATTTTTTTGTTCACCCCCAAACAAAGCAATAATGCCACTAAAATGCAAGAGGTTACTGAGTGTGGAAAAGAATGAGAAGAATTTATTGAGGAGAAAGGACAATTAAAGATTAGAATTCAGGAAGACGGAAGATGGTGATTGACATTGCATTTAAATTTTTGAAGATTATAGGTGGCATGGAATCAAGAAACTGGAAAAGACTTCCACAGGTAAGAAGTGTGAGAAAAGAAACTATCAGTATAAAACTTACAGTTAGCTATTTCAACAATGAAATGATGAAACCTAATTGCCAATCTAATCATACACTTAAATTCATGCAGTCAAGGTACCAAGAAGAAGAAGTCATTAGAGCAACTGCCATGAAAATATTTATAGAAATGACAGATGGAAGCCATATAACAGCAGCAGAAAAGTGACGGAAGTTGAGATGCCTGGTCAAGACTGATAACATAACAGACCCATCTTTGGATTTTGTTGAAAACCTTAACTGATTGATTGATTTCTTTGTTTAACAGCATATCAACCCCTTATGGGTCATTTAAAGCTGAAATTTAATTTTCTTAGGAGATTTGAAGTAATAAGAATATGATATATATGCACAAAAGCTGAGTATTATCTACCATGTATTCAATTGTGAAAGCAGAATAATATATATTATTCTGCTTTCACAATTGAATACATGGTAGATAATACTCAGCTTTTGTGCATATACATGTTTGTGTGGACATAATTACTAAAGGTGGTGATATGAGTGATTTATGTTGTAGCTTTGTTGAAGTTATATTTTGGAATACAGTTTGATTTCAGAAATTGTACGATATATGAATTAATGTCATGAAAGAGTTCTTTCATGTTGGCGGTTTGATTTTGTTTAGCATCATATCAACATCTATGGGTTATTTAATGCCAGAATCTCATTATTTTGAACATAGTTTTATGGCCTCAACTACAGATAAAATGTATTGTTGGTCTTTTTGCTATAAAATTTATTGTTGGTAATTCTCCTTTTAAAATGTATAGTTGGTAATTCTACTATATGTATTGTTGATAATGTTTTTTATATATAATAATGTAGTGCTAGCATTTTTTGGTTCACTATTTGTCCATAGCTGGGACCTTAACAGGTGCTGCTACCCTGGGTCAAGGTGGATCTGGGAACAACAGAAGTTAATAAGTGATTCCATACTCCTCAAAACCTCCAATCTCCCAATAAATGCAATTTCTATCTGATTTTCTTAAATGAGAACTCATCATTATTAACATTATTTACATTTGGATTGATATTGTTACTTTTGGTGCTATTATCAAAATGTTATGGCCATTGTACACTCCAGCCTCCTTTTAGCATTTGTCAAGCATGAGAACCTTCAGAGTTATCCTGATGACCCATTAGGTGAAACCTAGGTAGATAGGTTCTGGCTCTTTAGATTATCTATCTATCTATCTATCTATCTATCTATCTATCTATCTATCTATTGTTTCTTGATCAGCCTACATGTAAAAAAGCAAATATATCTTTCTTTTTCTGCTTGACCTCTCCCCTCCAATAACCAACCTGCCCTTGGCTGTAAAATCTGAGAGATAATTCCCATTTCATGTGATGCCAACTTACCAAAAGATGAGATATTTGACCAACCAGAAAATTCTCTACACATCGGCAAATGTGTTTGTTCTATCTATTTAATTTTTTTTTCTCTTTTTTCTTCAATTTATTTAATTTAAATGTAATTATTTATTCATTTACATATATATATATATATATATTCAAAATTATAACATATGCATGTTATATCATCACTACAAAAATTGCAGTTTTTGTAGTGATGTAATAACATGCATATGTTATAATTTTGAATAAATATTATTTGCTCTACTCAGTATTGGGCACTCTTTTAAGAGTAGTGTTTTTGGTTATTGGAATTTTATTCCATCTGTACGAACACTGTACTTGAATATTTATATATATATATATATATATGTTATTGATGTAATGAATATGCATACACCTGGGTTCCCCCTCATATGATTGGCTGGTGTCAGCCATAAATACAGACTGATGTGGCGGTACACCTATTGACTACACCTATAGACTGCCTATTGTCTACGCCTATTGCTTACCACTATGATGAGGACCAGTCCATTACGGTTACCTGTTAGATTGTCCTACTCGGTTACAGTAGTCCAAAACCACTTTGCTACTTCGAACAAATATATCCCTTTCTGGGACATATCAGTTATATTCTGTGCTAATAGGAATATGGAATGGACAAACATGGTAGATAAATCGTAACAGGTTTATTGTAGAAACCAGTACAGCAAGCAAGAAAGTAATAGTTATGTGCATAGTCGTCTCAAGTCAGTACAGTTGTATGCGTGCTGTTATCGGAAAGCTGCTAGTCTCACAGATCCCAGCTTGACTCTCCCATCCACTGTCCTCATGGATACTCATAGGTGGTTACCACCTACAGTACCACCACTCATAGGAGTGGCAGGTTATTCCATCACATCAATATATATATTTTTTTATTTGTCATTTTAAATAATCTATTACCCTTATTATCTTTTACTCATTTTTTTGCTCTCAGTAACACCTTGCATCTTAGTGGCATTATTGCCTTGTTTGGGATGAAATAATTACAAAAACATTGTAAATGGAGGCTGTGAGTATTTGATTATATGTATATAAGTATATTTTGGTTTGTGTGTTTATTTAGGCATATGAGTATGTGTGTATGAATGTGAATATTTGTGTGTGTTTACATATATGAAAATTTAAGTTTATTCACATGTGTGTATTTGTGTGTGTGTGTGTGTGTGGATAATATTTGAGTGTGGAAATGTAGTCATGAATATATTTTATTCCGTGTGTGTATGTGTGTGTGTGTGTGTGTGTGTGTGTGTGTGTGGATAATATTTGAGTGTGGAAATGTAGTCATGAATATATTTTATTCCGTGTGTGTATGTGTGTGTGTGTGTGTGTGTGTGTGTGGATAATATTTGAGTGTGGGAATGTAGTCATGAATATATTTTAGTCCGTGTGTGTATGTGTGTGTGTGTGTGTGTGTGTGTGTGTGTGTGTGTAGAGTATGGTTATGAATATGTAAATGCTTGTGTGACTGCATTTGAATGTGTATGTTGTTTTTGTATGTGTGCATGTGCCCCTATAATATCTTTGATGTTAACATTGTATTTCATTCAAAGAAACTTTTGTGCATCACTGCCTTCGGATTCTCATTTACTTTCTCTTTTTTCATCCTCCTGGATCTCGTTTCCCTGTTCTGGATTTGGATTCCTTCAACCCATTTTTTTCTCTCTTCTTTTCATCCTTTTCACTTTTCTTTCTTTTTTGCTTTCATTTTCAGTTTTCCTTGTGTTGGACTTGATATTCCTTCCCTTGTATTTTTGTAATAATTTCATTTTGCCTTATCGATCCTTACCATTTTTAGCCTTTTTTTCTCCCTTGATCTCACTTTCTTTCTTTAGATTTTTCTTTTCTGTATTTAAATTCATTTTCTTCTCTTTATCCATTTTATGTTCAAGTTCAAAAATCTACCCAGTATTTAGCGTTTTTTTTTTCCTACCTGGTTTCGGTCTTTATTTTTTTCACCTATTTCATCTCATGCTAAACCAATTTTCTGTTAAATATATCCTTCTGCTTTTTTGACTCTTCCAGTTTCATCATTCTGTCTTTACCATTTTTATTTAATCCTTCTTCATAATTTTTCCTCAGCTTCTTTCTGTAAAATATCTTTTACTTTCTATATTCTTTATATACAATATACAAAGTTCGACTCCAAAGTTTAGTGAATTTAACTATGAAAAGATTACAGAGGCAGCAACATGCTGTGATCTTCTTCTTCTTCTTCTTCTTTTTCTTCTTCTTCTTCTTCTTCTTCTTTTTCTTTTTCTTCTTCTTCTTCTTCTTCTTCTTCTTCTTCTCATATCCCCTCAGGACATTGACGATCATAGCTCTCTACAATTTCCTGTCCTTTGTAGCTCTTAATAAATTTTGTCTTTTTTGTTATTTCTCCTAAACTTTGTAATGCCATCCATTTACTCAATCACTTTCTTCTTTTTCTATGTGCTGAGTCCCTTCAGGACCTAGGCGATCATGGGTCTCCACAATATCCTGTCCTTTGTAGCTCTTAAGAAATTTTGTCTTTTTGTTATTTCTCCTAAACCCTGTTCTGTCATCCATTTACACAAGGTAGATTATGCATTATTTTCCTCTGTCCCTCTTATCTCCAATCTGTTCAGTGAGTATCACATTTTCTAAGCCATCTTTCCTCATTACATGTTCTAGAAATTTCAACTACCTCTTTCTGATATTAAGTATAAATGTCCTTTTTGGTCTCCATTTTCTCGAAAAACTTTGTCATTGCGCACATGTTCATTCCATAGTGTACTCAGTATCCTCCTGTAGAACCACATTTCTGTTACTTCACGTTTTCTCTTATCCAGTAAGGAGATTGTCTAGAATTGTGGAGAGTGAAAGAAATGGATAGGACAATGAAAAATCATGGTTCAAGGAGACAAGATGATTTGACATTTGCATTTAAACTTTTGATGATCGTTAGTTGACAGGAAAGGCAGAAGAGACTTCAACAAGTGAGAAGAGTAGTAGAAGAAACTATTAGCATAGAACTTACAGTTACAAGAAATTTCAACAATGAAATTATGAGACCTAACTACCAATCTAGACTTTATTATTCATAGGTGTTCTCTTTCTTCATTATATGCCCTAAAAATTTCAGCTATCTTTTCTTGATGTTAAATATAAGTGTTGTTTCCGTTGCCATTGTCTCTGAAACTTTGCCATTGCTCACATGTTCATCCATCTGTAGAACCACATTTCTTTTGCTTCAAGTCTTTTCTTCATCTGTGAGGAGATTGTCCAACATTCACTGCCATATAGGAGGACTGAATTTAGATAAAAATAACAGACTGATAACATTAAGATAAAAATTGGAACAATTTATATTCACTGTTATAAGTTCGCTGTTATGAACAACTTGAAGTTATGAAAGCTACATACAAAATTTGAATTATTATTTCTTAATCCATTTAAAGTAAAGTATTTGAGATTGACAGAGTTTGATAAAGTCTTTGTTGTGTCATATTCTAGCAATTCTAGAGATTTATATGACAATTATATCTGCATCATTTTCTTTTTTATATTTTGATTGTTTACCTTTATTTATTATTCACTTTTTTTTTCTTTTTATATTTTGTCATACAGTTGCTTTCATTTTTCTCTATTTTAGTTTGACAATCAAAATTTCCACTTTTTTTTCTTGATTCTGAATGTTATCTCCCATTCTTGATCTTTTATTATTCCTTCCTGAGTTTTCTCTTATTTTGTTTTTCTTTTTTATCTTGACCAATGTTCCCATTCAAGTGAAGCATCCTATTCTTGTTTAACTTTTCTTATAGATTTTTTTTTCAATTTCTCTCTCAGAATTCTCTTGAACTTTTCATCTTTATTTTGATCCTACCTTTTGTTTGATATTGATTTTCACTTGATCATTATTTTTGATCATTATTTTCTCTGACTGAATTTTCTTTCAATATTTTTAGCTTCCTCTCTAATTACTGACCAATCATTTTCCATCATTTCCCAAGGCCAGAGTTTTCAGGCTCAATTTAGATTCATTTATTTATCCTCTTTTCCTAACTCACAGCTTTCTCTATTCTTTCAAACTATTTTTCAATTTTTCCTTATTCCTGTTCAATTTAGATTTATTTTTACTCTTTTCCGTAGTCTACAATTTTTCCCCTCAATAGAGATCAACTTTTTCTCTTTAAAGAATGTCAAGAATGTCCCCTACTTAATCTATATTTACTTTTTCTCTCTTAATCCTGAGATTTCTCACTAATTTATGTGCAGCTTTTTCCTCTCTTTTCCGCATATCTAGTGTGTTTCCTGCCCTTTATAGGTATTTCTTTCACTTTCATTTTTTTCAATGCTCTTAATCTTTTTGCTTCCCACTTGTGAGGATTCTCTGGCTCTTTTAGACCTTGCTTTCTTGATTCTCTTGACCTTAACCAAATTATGGATCACTATCTATTGATCGTATTGGTCTATTCCATTGTAAATTTTTAACTTGGCCAACTGCAATAAAAGACAAAGGTGAGCAAATATGATCAATAGACAGTGATCCAACAGTTGCTTGAGATCAAGATGAGCAAAAAGCAAGGTCTAAATAGGCAGAGAATCATCAAAAGCTGGAAGCAAAAATTTATAAAGGTTTTCCTACTTGTTCTTTATTTAATTTTATTAGTTTAAGCCATATTTTTTCAATTTATATATATATATATATATATATATATGAATTGCATAGATTATTCTACAATCTAGAATATTTATCACATGCCTTAAAATATTATATGTTCATTACACATGTCACATATCTAACCAATAAGAAATAACCAAACACAACATACCATTAATCTGTCATCTCTTTGCTTTTTATCATTTTTATTGTTTCTATTTTGAT